TGATCCAAGGATGCTGAAACATCCCCATATCCCACCTTGGGATTGATACAAGGATTTTGAGAATCCCCCTGTCCCACTTTGGGATTGATCCAAGGTGCTGAGAATCCCCTTGTCCCACCTTGGGATTGATCCAAGGATGCCGAGACATCCCCCTGGATTTGGGATTGATCCAAGCATGCTGAGAATCCCCCTGTCTCACCTTGGGATTGATCCAAGGATGCTGAGAATCCCCATATCTCACCTTGGGATTGATCCAAGGATGCTGAGACATCCCTCTGGGTTTGATCCAAGGATGCTGAGAATTCCCCTGTCCCACTTTGGGATTGATCCAAGGATGCTGAGAATCCCCCTGTCCCACCTTGGGATTGATCCAACCTCTTATCCCTCTTCCACAGGGAATGGGAGCAGCCAGGGGGCCGCAGAGCTCCAGGAACGACACCAGGTTTTTCCATCCCACCTCCCTCAGGAGCAGGAAAGACCTCGGGATGTTTATCCCCGACGAGGTGAGAACACAGCAAACCCCATTCCCACTTTTTTTGCTCTCCCAGGCTCATCCCACCACCGTATCCATCTTTCCCACCCACAGAGAGTGCCCTGGTCCTTCAGGAGGTGATGGAGAAGCTGCAGAGGCTCAGCCAGAGCCTGGAGCTGATGCTGGAGGCCTCGGAGAACGCACGGAGCCGGCTGGAAAACCACCTGGAGCGCCTCAAGGCCGTTCCCAACCCGGATGGTGAGCGGGAATAGGGGCTGGAGCGCGGATGGGAACCGGTGGGTGCCAATTCCAGGTTTTTCCATCCCATCCCACAGGTCAGAGCCCAAGTGCCACCTCCACCTTCATCCCACCCGGCTCCTACTCGGCGCTGCTGGTTCTTCTCCTGGTGCTGGCGCTGCTCTGGGTGATCCTCCTCCTCTTCCTGGCTTCCAGCGCCCTCGGAATCCCGGAGCTCTCCGCTCTCCTGGTCCTTGCTGTGGCAGGTGGGGACAGATGTGGGGACACCTGGATGGGGACACACCACCCTGGGGGTGCTCTGCCCTCTCCCACCCTCCTGTTGTCCTGCAGGACAGCGGCTGGTGGCACCCAGAGGGATCCGGCTGGTGGTTTCCCGGGAAAAACCTCCTCGCCGGCTCACCTCCACCCCGGAGAGGTAGGAGAGGGTTGAGGGGGTGGGCGAGGCACCCTTGGGAGCTGGTGGGACCGGTCCAGGGCATCCCATCCTGGATGTTCCACCTTGGAAGTCCCATCCTGGATGTTCTATCTTGGAAGTCTCATCCTGGATGTTCGATCCTGGAACCATCTGGCAGAGGTTCCCAGCAAGGGACAGGACACATCCTGGTGGCTTTCCTATGGATTTTGGACACCTATTTCTGCTTGGGTGTCCCACCCTGGATGTCCCACCCTGGGTGTCTCATCTTTGGTGTCTCGTCCTTGCTGTCCCATCCTGGAGCCACCTGGCAGAGGTTCCCAGGAAGGGACAGG